GTTCACAAAGGGGCAAAGGCCGCTTTTTTTTTTTGGGACCGGAACAGGTGTGAGTCTGGTGTTTTTCCCATTTCTTTTTTTTTTTTTCTTTCCTCCTTCCCTTGTAACTTGCCTTCCAAAAAGCATTTTAGAGATCTGAGCTTTTATTTCTAGAGTTTAAAGGCCCAGTGGTAAGAAGTGTGAACATTTTCTCCTGTACACTATTATTTGACTGGTCTATCTGCTAAATTATTCTGAGGAACTCTACATTATTATCAGAATTAAATTAGATTTAATATTAAATTGACTTCTATTACATTAAAGGTATTTTTAAATTATTCGGCTGTATGTTGGTGGAAATATTAGAGCAGAGTCTTCTAGAAATGCTTATTACCTTGTATTTTCTCTAAACAATGTTAGATTTTCTTCAGATATAAAAAATGATATCCTTAATTATAGCAGGTAATATCTTGATCATTGAGATTATCAAAAGTCCATTGAAATTAAACTAAAATCTAATGCATAAACATTTTTAGAGCTGAGTTTTTGCTCAGAAACCATAAAATTCAACCTCCTCATTTTACCAAAAATAAAATTACATTCTAGAGAGTTTTTATTTAGTGTTTTATCTAGAACTTTACAGCTTGTTAATGGTAAGCCGGCACTTGAACTAAACCTTCCTCTCAGTCCTGCATCTTTTAAGAAGAGTTTACTCTTACATTCTGTTTCTCTTTTTTTAAGATTTTATTTTATTTGTCATAGAGCAAGCACAAGCAAGGGGAGTGGCAGGCAGAGGGAGAGAGAGAAGCAGGCTCCCCACTGAGCAAGGAGCCCGACGACACAGGACTCATCCCACGACCCTGGGATCATGACCTGAGCCAAAGGCAGACACTTAACCCACTGAGCCACCCAGGCGCCCCGTATTCTAACAGTTTCATGTGTGTGTTGATTTTGTTGTTTTGGATTCAAGTCTTTTTCTATGGGTCAGACTTAAGAAATATTGAATATATTTTTTTGGTACAACTTTGGAAGTGCATGGGGTTCATATGTTTATAGTCACTGCACCATGTTATAAGCAGAATCAACAAAGGCATAATAATTTCATTGATAGGCCTAGTCCTCTTTAAATGAACTTTATGAACATCAGAATCAATAGAACATAACTAGTACAGTAATGGAACCCAGGTTTTGTGCGTTTAAATCAAGTGATGTAGTAGAATACCATGTAATACTAGGCCTTCCTTACATCCTGTTTGGTCCATTTGTAGAAGCCGTCATGGGGGAAATAAAGCTAGTGCTTCCCAGGATGGGAAGATGAGGCAGGGCTACTGCAGGTTGGACTGCTGCCTCTACAGTCATCACTCCAGGGCTGCCTTACACTTGCTAGCTCACTTCTGGCTTCTGCTCCCTGATTTTTATTCTTTGTTTCTGCTGGCTTGCCTTGACAGACTGAGAACCACCCCAGTGTGTGCCTCTGACCCTTGTTTTTCACTCTAGACTTCATTCTGGTGTTCTTGGCTTCTGCACACCTGACATGTATAATTCGTTTGCCACCCCCATGGCCAGGCAACAGGAGTGTAACGGAGGCTTTGTCTTAGTGCCTGACTAGAAGTTGATAGGAATCCCTAGCACTTTTGTGTCCTGCTGCCCCCAACTTGCAGTCTTAGAAAAGACTTAGAGGGCGCCTGGGTGGCTCAGTTGGTTAAGCGACTGCCTTTAGCTCAGGTCATGATCCTGGAGTCCCGGGATCGAGTCCCACATCGGGCTCCCTGCTCAGCAGGGAGTCTGCTTCTCCCTCTGACCCTCTTCCCTCTCGTGCTTCCTATCTCTCATTCTCTCTCTCTCTCAAATAAATAAATAAAATCTTTGGAAAAAAAAAAGAAAAGACTTAGAAAAGACACATCATCCCCTTTAAAGTAACATGATTGCATCTTAGAGAAGTTGCAGGGGCTTGTTATCACTGCTGCCTATTGTGGTACACCTGCCCCTTACAAGAAAGCCACGTTGTTTCTTTATTCTAAGTTTGTATTTGCCTGCTTGGGTGGGTGGAGGGTGGGGAAAGCTTGTCCTGGATATTTTCAGTCAGGTCCACATAGCCCTAAGAGTATAAAAATCGTGCTTTAGTACCTATGCCAAGGAAAACGTGGTGTGATTATCTTTCTCCACATTGCTGCAGATATAAACTGCAGTTAATCAGTTCAACAGTTTCAGCAAAAGGCTTAACCCAGGGGCGCCTGGGTGGCTCAGATGGTTAAGCAAATGCCTTCGGCTCAGGTCATGATCCCAGGGTCCTGGGATCGAGCCCCATGTCTGGCTCCTGGCTCAGCGGGGAACTTGCTTCTCCCTTGTCCTCTGCCTCTCCCCTGCTCATGCTTGCTCGCTCTATCTCTGTCTCAAATGAATAAATAAAATCTTAAAAAAAAAAAAGGCTTAACCCACATGTCAAAGATTAGCTCACTTAGATCCACTTGACCACTGGACTTGAGGATTGTGTCTCCTTTGCAGACAGAAGGCTTTTTGTTTTTTAAGGGTAGGGGGCCCTGCTTTCACTCAGCACCCTAGACCTTTATTAGAATTCGAGCACCTTTATCTTAAACATCTATAATCACACAAATAAAAGAGCCAACTTTGAGGATTTAAACAGTACCATTGTTACGTTCTTGGTATAAGTCAATCCATTAGTTAGGCCCAGTGCCTAAACGAATTCTAGCAAAATCTTCCACTAATATGATGATGCTAAATCCTCCACTACCTGCATGAGGCAGAACTTACTCCAGGCCAGTGGGAGGAGTTTCCATCTTATCTACCAGCTCCTCATGGAAAATGAGGTCATTGTCGTTGCCATGATTGACACAGGATATCATCATAATATATACTTGCTTCATTTATATGCCATGGAAGGAAGTAGAACTTCACCAAGAAGGTAATCTCTCTTGGTTGGAAGATCCAAGATTTGATGATCCCCCTTTAAGCTCAACATATCACTCCTCTATGAAATTCAAACATTCCTTTTCAAGGAAAAGGGTTGGTCTTAGGAGCTGCCTTTAAAATAAGAACATTGGGGCACCTGGGTGGCTCAGTCGGTTAAGCGTCTGCCTTTGGCTCCGGTCATGATCCCAGGGTCCTGGGATCGAGCCCCACCTTGGGCTCCCTGCTCTGCAGGGAGTCTGCTTCTCCCTCTCCCTCTGCCCCTCCCCCACTCGTGTTCTCCACACACACCCTTCTCTCGCTCACTCTCTCAAATAAATAAAGAAAATCTTAAAAAAAATAAAATAAAATAGGAACATTGTGCTTCTGCCTCCACAGTCTCCACCTATACCAGATCTTTTTGGTTGATTTTATCTCCAGGTGTTCTGCCTATCTCTTAAAAAAGATTAGTTCCCATTACCTTAGAAAGAAAGTAAAAGCAACTACAGCTAGTGCAGCTGCTGTTAATTTCTACTTAAATCTGGCACTCTGTCTGTGTCCTGGACTTTGCCACATTTTTTCAAGCTTATTGATCTGGGTCTGTCTTTCTCACTTGAATATGATGCCCACCTCTACCTGACTCCATGATGATAATTTAATCTGTTCATATTCCCAAATCTGGCTAACCCTTGGCCATCTTACTTTTATGTCCTCTGATTCCTCTTTGCTTTGAACTGTGGCTTTCACAAGCTAAGTTTCTCTTTTTTAATGTGTGGCTTACCTCTTTTTCATAGTCTCCTGTTAATAGCATTTAATATGAGAAACATTTGTTTCGATATTCAGCTATGACTATTTTACTTTAGCCTCTGTGTTAAAAAATAAAAATTAATTGAAAATAAAAATAAATTACAGTGTAATGTATTAACATTTTAAGAATCAAGGATTTTTCCATGTTAATCTAATTCTGTTTGAATGCCAAAAGTTTAGTTTAGTTTCGAAATACAAAATCATCTGCATTAGATGTTGTCTGGTACTGGGATTGTACTAATACAAGGGCTGCCTCCCCTGCCTTATGGAGCTGATTGGCCACAGTATCTAAACAACCATGCAGGGTACATGAATCCCCATAGGAATCTTTGGATATAACCTCTGATAGGAAGGTGATGTGGATAGGTAATTCTAGTCAGATAAATATGTTTGTGAATGTTTTGTAGTGCTGAACTGAGTCTTCAGAGAAGCCCAGGAATCTTTGCTATATGGGCAAACCTTTAAGCCTCATTTGTGAGTATAGAAAAGAATAAAGCACTGTGTATTAAAAGGAGCACAAATAAAAATGACGGAATAAGTGAGAACTTCAAGCAAAATTCCATCCCACATTGCTTTGCTTTTCATTAATTACAGAGATGACTTTGAAAACAACTTACAAATCCTATCAATTTATATTTTAAATATACTTTGTGAGATAAGTGTTTCAGGGAAAGCAGTGTTTTATAATTGCATAAGCAGAAGTCATTTAAGTTTTTTAAAATGAATTTTCTCTTTTTTGAGGGTAACCCATGCATTATTATTCACTGGAAAATTCTGTTGTAACCAGATGAGGACAGAGCAAAGCATTTTCATGAGCCATCAAATGAACATTGAAATTATATTATTGTATAGAACTCATTTTTATAGTGCTGTTTGGCAAAATGGAATCTTGCCTTCTCTTTGGAAAGAAGATTTTTTTAAAGATTTTTTTTATTTTTTTAAAGATTTTTTTTATTTATTTGAGAGAGAGAGAATGAGAGACAGAGAGCACGAGAGGGAAGAGGGTCAGAGGGAGAAGCAGACCCGCCGAGCAGGGAGCCTGATGCGGGACTCGATCCCGGGACTCCAGGACCATGGCCTGAGCCGAAGGCAGCCGCCCAACCGACTGAGCCACCCAGGTGCCCTGGAAAGAAGATATTTTTAAAATGTTAATAACCACTGTCTACAATCTTAAAATGAGGGACATGACTTTGAAAACTTGTAAAGGTAATATTTTATGAAATCAATGACCAGGGGTGCCTGGGTGGTTCAGTGGGCTAAGCTTTCAGCTCTTGATTTTGGCTCAGGTCATGATCTCAGGTTGTGGGATGGAGTCCCCTGTCAGGCTCCCTGCTCAGTGGGGCGTCTGCTGAAGATTCCATCCCTCTCTCTCTGCCCTTTCCCCTTGCTTGTGCACTCTCTCTCAAATAAACAAATCTGTAAAAAAGAAAAAAAGAAGTCCGTGGCCAAAAAAGTCTCTTCCTAAGTGCTGTGCCCTTCCACTCACCATTCCTTTTTTAATCCTTTTTTCTTTAGATCCTCTTGGGTCTGTATGGGGAGGTGTGTGGAGGAGAGAGACGGGGGCCTGAGCAGTAGGACAGGGTAGGATGGTTCATAGGAGCAAGTGCAGTTTCTTAGGGAGTACAGTGATTGTAAATTAGGGACGGAGAAGCCTTCCGGGTTGCACATTTTTTCCCATCTAACATTTCTAAAATCTTTTTTTTAAAGATTTTGTTTATTTGACAGAGAGAGAGAGAGAGCGAGAGCAGAAACACAAGCAGGGGGAGTGGGAGAGGGGAAGCAGGCTTCCCGCCGAGCAGGGAGCCCGATGCGGGGCTCGATCCCGTGACCTGAGCCGAAGGCAGACGCTTAACGCCTGAGCCACCCAGGTGCCCTAACATTTCTAAAATCTTATGTCTTAAAATCATGGCAGTGGTTTGTTTTAGTGGCATATAAAATAACGTATATTATAGTTGATGCTGTCTTAGAGTTGATGAAATATTTGAGCAGTTCTGTGAGCTCTACTATCTTCATACCACCAGAAAATTAATAGAGATGCAGGGAGAGGAAGAAAGAGGGCCTGGAGGTGAGGAACAATATTAGGGCAGCAGTTTTAAACTCTGGCTACTGCGTATTAGAATTGTCTACTGACATAAAAACACCACCATCTCTTGCCCTCCTCACAAGCCAGTTAGAATAGAATCTCTGGCTTTGGGCCCAGTAGTTTTTAAAAAGCTCCCCAGGCGATTCTAATGATCAAGCAGAGTTGAAGAACCACCATATTAAGGAAATCAATGAGTTCAGGAAAGGGAACTTATCTCAGAGGAGTTCTTAATGGTGGGTACATAATTTCTACCCTGTAGTTGTGAGGATACTTAACAAAGTATCTTGAAATTCATAAAGAACTAAACTAGTGTATGGCATCACTACTGTTACCAATTAAACATAGTGAAGAGAACAGGAGTTCCTGAAGCTGAAATTAATGAAACTTGAATCATATTAGTTGATTTAAAAATATGTGCCATTGGATCGTCTATAAGTATTTCATTAATCTCGTATCCCTCAACTATATATTGCAGTCTTTCTAAGTGCAAGGGTCTGTATTTTTCTTCCTTAGTATCACTCATCTTAACCAGTACAGTGTTTGGCACTATTTAATAGTAGAGCATTATAGTGAAAGTCTGTTCTCTTTGGAGACTTAATCTTTCCTGGAAGGATTTGTTTTTCTTATCCATTTAATCACTTTTGCTATTGTTTTTAAATTATCCCTAATTTCAAGTGCAGCAGCCAAAGCTGGATTGCACCCTTTGAGGAAAGTCTAACTAAAATAAAATGTTATGGTATTAGGATTTTCCTGCCCTTTTCCATTATTACAACACAGCATTATTTCATGTTTTTTATAAAGCTGTATTTTATTTCCAGGTTTTATCCAGCCCCTTATTCTTGAAAGCAACTTTGAGATTAGGGGTTATGTCTGTTTATACATTAAAATGTCATGCCCACATCTGTATTCAAGAGGTTTTTGTATTGGGCGCCTGGGTGGCTCGATTGGTTAAGCGACTGCCTTCGGCTCAGGTCATGATCCTGGAGTCCCGGGATCGAGTCCTGCATCGGGCTCCCTGCTCAGCGGGGAGTCTGCTTCTCCCTCTGACCCTCCCCCCTCTCATGTGCTCGCTCTCTCTCTCTCTGTCTCTCTCTCTCTCTCATTCTTGCTCTCTCAAATAAATAAATAAAATCCTTAAAAAAAGGGTTTTGTATTGGCTAATTATATATATGATGTAACAATCATAAAGGACACTGTAATCTGACGTATGGGAGGAGCAATAAATAACTTGTGGACTTGCTTTGTAAACATTAAAACAAAAATATTTGTTCTTAAGAGGCTCATTCACTAAGTTATTTCTTTAATTAAGTCTGTTATGGCTTCTGTAGACTGATAGAACAGTCCAGATTCCTTTGTGCCTTTAAGGCCTCCATCTTTTTTTTTTTTTTTTTAAGATTTATTTATCATTTGAGAGAGAAAGAGAGAGTGGGGGCGGTGCAGGGAGAGGTAGAGGGCAAGGGAGAATCTCAAGCAGACTTCCCGCTAAGCCTGGAGCCTGATGCGGCTCGATCTTACGATGCTGAGATCATAACCTGAGCCGAAATCAAGAGTCAGATAGGCTTAACCGACTGAGCCACCCAGGTGCCCCAAGGCCTTCATCTTTGATTTTGTACTTTAGCTAACCAGTTTTCTTTCTACTCCTGGGCAACCACTCTTGTCAATCACAGATACTTTTTTATCAGCATTACAGTGTCCCTTGTATAGGAATGTAAAACAGCCTTCTTTCTTCTAGTCCATAGGTGAACAGTTGAGTAGTACTATGAGTGAGGAAGTTGAGATGTTTTCTAAATCTTAGGTTTAGTCCTCAAAATATGGTTTCAGTATTTGGTTAGAATTGGGAACTTCCAGTTCTGCCCCCTCACTAGTGATGTATGGTGACTAACATAACATAATAAAATTAAAAAAAAAAAAAAAAGAATTGGGAACTTCCAGTGTATTAGGCATATTTGTAATTTGAATTATTATATGAAAACATATTACATAGAGAGATAACTTTGGGGAATATGTATATGATTGCTCATTTGTTACTTTTGAGGTAAATAACCATGTAACCCTATAGTCTTACTGAAATCTGAACATGATCTTTTATTCCTAAAATTTTTGAAGGTTAAATGGAGATTAGAAAATCAGTTCACAAATTTGAATAGAATAAGGATCACCTTCTTAATAATAAAGAGATTGCAAGTTTGCCTAACTGGTTTGTTAAGATGCCAAGTAGTTTATATTGATAGGCCTTTTGCCACAGGCAAAAAACTAACATGAAAAGATTTTAAATGAAAAGATTGGAAACTAGTAGGAATATTAAAAATGGTTTACCTTTTAAATTCACCTGCTCTGTGGAAATATTTTTTCTTCAGTCATTTTCCAGATGATAGACACAGATGTGATATAAACGAGAACCACAAGTAGCTTCAAAAGTCGTAAGGAACAGTCCAAAGTTTTGGTCCTAGCCCACTTATCTGTGTTTTAACTGGAGTTGGAAGTGTTCTTAAAGGCCTCCACGTTGAACTGGATCCAGATTGGCCTTGTGGAAATGAATGCCTATATTTTCCTGATGCCTAACATACCTGCTATCATTAATTACATGCCAATGCTAATAAACACCCTCCCTGCTTGTTTATTACTATAACTTGTTTCAACTAAGCATGCCCTTAAACTTGTAAAAAGTGCCTGTTATTTTTCTTGACTTCTTCAACATAGTCTATCTCAGTTGAGCAGGAAGGTCTAGCTTAGAGCAGAGGTTTCTCGACATTTTGTTGTTGTTGTTCCCAGAAAGTTTCTAATTTCTCTTTAAAGAAAATTTAATTATATCTAAGTCTTTTAGAAAATATAAGTGCAAAGTAAACACTAATGAAATGATAAAACATCTCCAGTTGGAAGAGAAGGCCAGATTTTTAAGTGAAAGAGAATTGGAACTAGATCTGAGATATCCCAGTAACTTCATTATGTAGATGCCAAGGCTGAGAGATATGAAGTAGACTTGCCAAAATGTTATCACTATTTAGAGACAGAATCAGAACTAGAAACTCTTCTTTTTTTTATGGTATGTGTTTTGTATACTTGCCCTTTAAAATTTTCTCTCAATTTTTTTCTGAAAGTAGGCGATAGGGTATAGATAAATAAAATACTATTACCAGTGGTGTGTGTTCATACTCATTAAGATTCTTTTGATTACAAGTAACAGAAACCAGTAAGTAAATGGATCTAGCAAAAAAAAGGCGGGGGTGGAGGGGAGAGAAAATTTAGAAAAGATTCTGGAATATTTCCCAGAATCCAATTCTGGTGTGGGTCCCTTAGTTTGAAATTCAGAGAGAGGGATAAACACACAGAGAAAGAGGGAGGAGACAAAAGCTATTGTCCACTCTGTTCCCACCACCTTCAGTGTCCTTCTGTCTCACCTGTGTGTCTGTCTTACAACTCTTAAAAATTTTTTCTTTATGCAGTGGAGTCCCACAGCCCATAGGGAAGAACCGTAGTCTGTCAGGTAGATTCAAAGTAGAGTATCTTAAAATGATATTAATATGCATTCCTACTGCCTTAAACATTTTACCTTAAGAGTTAAGATGTATGTTTAGCTACCAGTGTACATGTAGGATAAGGCCTTTGATTTCAGTATAATATGCTGATTGAGCATCTGCTTTCTCTTTCTTGGGAGTATGCAACCCGTAATCTAGATTTACAATTTTGGCTTCTTAGGAGCAAGAATTTAGACATGGAAACAACACGAATGCAGAATCCTTCTAGACTTATGTTTCTCTTCTAGTCTCCTGTTATCTCTCCAGTACCTACTTTGACAGTTTTTTTTTAGCAACTTACTTTTATATTAAGTCTTGCCAAAGCATTAAGCCTGGTTTTCATAGAAACATCTTCTTCCCCGGTACTCATAATTAATGGGGTTATATAATATATAATCGAATCGCATAATTACTAACAATAAAACTAGCATAAACAAGTTCTAATATAGTTAGAGCAGAAGTGTGTGGGAGTACTAGAGATGAACCTAACTACCCACTATGGGCAAGCTATGGGCATCTGTCACTGTATTTAAAAGAGGGGACTTGAGAGCGTTGGTAATCTAGAAGTGGGGTAAGCAGAGGTCTATTAAAAGTGATTCTACTGTATTAAAATGATTTATATACCTGTCATAGCTTCCTACTAGGCCAGCAGCTCTCAAAACGTGATCTGGACACTTGGGTAGAGGGATTCCTGAGACCTTTTCAAGGGGTCTATAAAATCAAAACTATTAGTCATAATAATACCAAGACTTTTTGCCTTTTTCAGTTCTGATTTTCTAAACATTTCTTAGTTTTATTTCCTAATATGATAAATAGCAAGAGATACGAACCCACATAAAAGCTCAGTGGGGGCCCTCAGTACTTTTTAAGAATCTCTGTCACAGAAATCATTTGAATGGCTGCACTAGACTCTGTACTCCTTAAGGATGGGAGCCATGTTTTATTCATCTGTGTTATTCCTGATGTGTTTCAAGTATTTGTGGTCTTTTAAACTGGGCCAACAAAGTGCTCCTATTCAAGATTTAAAGCCTTCACACACTTTTTAAAGCCTCATTGGAAAATGTTTTCATACTCTTTCCACTAATCATGCTTCTTTTCTTCTTCAAAACATTGCTTAAGAGTTCAGGGGAAAGGTATTAAAATACTGCATTATACCTTAAAGGCATCTGAAAGCACCCATTTGCACACCACTGCTGTTTATTACAGACCATATTCATTAATAGATAGAACTTTCAGCTTCAGTGGAAAGACAAACTCAAATATAAGATTTGGGAAATTCAGATTTTAATCTCAATCTTACTAAATTCATTAACAGTAGGAAATTATTTTTAGACATTTAAATTTAATATAAAATAATTATGGCTTTGTTTCCTTCCTGACATTTTGGTATAAGGTAGGCATGTTTCTCATCATTGCTTTTTCCAGACCTCTGATAGCATGTACTTGAGATTCGTTGCATATGTTGCATTGAGGGACTCTTCAACTATTGGATTACACATGCATTCAGAGTTAGGGGCTACAGTAAGGAGTCTCCTGGACTTTAGAGACAAAATCAAGAACAGTCACCATTAGGAAGATTTTCTAATATAAATCATGTGGGTGTGGTACTATCTGCACTCTACATTTTGGTCCATTTTTCTGTTTATCTGTATCTCCCCCCCCCCCCCCCCGACAAACTGTATGCTTCTTGAAAAGAGTACCATGTCTTACTCATCTTTGATTCCAAACACTTAAATGGTGCCCTTTACATAGTAGGCACTTAGTTAATGTTAGGGGAATGCATGAAGTCGTTTGCCCTGAAGAGATGAATCCTAAATGCATTGCTGATGAGCCAAAGGATTTCCTGAATCTCTTCTCAAAACCTGGGTGAATTCTCATGGAATTAAGACTGAACCATAGCTTCCTAACCATAGTTGTACATTTCCAGACTGTAGGAGAGCTGGTGCCATCATGGGATAATATATGTACTATCAAAATAAGGTCTGTAAAGTGACTTTACCACAATGTTTGGTGCCTAGTAGTCATGTAGTAAGTGCTAACTTTTGTTTACCTTTTCGGTTTCTCTTGAATTTTGTGTCAGGGTCACCATAAGAATTCTTACTAATGGTAGGAAAAATTGCCCTTCTGTTTGGACAAATATCCATAGCAGTTAAAGTTCTAATTTAGACATACCCAAGTTAATAAATCTGCTGGAAAATAGAAGTCAGAGCAACTAGCAGGCAGAACTGGTACACAGTAGAGCCTAGACAATGACCTGCCCAGTTTATAGTATTTTCTAGACTAGCTATTCTAGTCCCAGTGTATCCTAGAATTTTATTTGCATACATATGTGTGTGTTCGCTCACCCACACATACAGATATATATTACCTTTGATTTTAGTGCGTTAGACTAGCTGGGTTTTCAGAAGTTACTTCTCTGCCAAAGATATGTAGTCTCCACTCCCTTCACATTTTTGAAATTTGATTTTATGCCCTATTAGGCCACCCTCTTTAGAAAGAGATAGTATATAAAGGTTGTTATTGGCAAGGGGCTGCAGCAGCCCGGTAAACAAACTTGACAAGCTCAGTTTTTTTACTAGCCAAGAGTAAGGTTTTTCTCTATTCTGACTAATGATGCTACTATAAACTTACAAGTTTCCTTGGTTTTTATTATTACATTTAATTCTAATCATCATTACTGTGGCTACTATGTCAAGGTAAATTCTTGAAAATGATCAGTGTTATCTCTGAATACATTTAATTTTTTTTTCTTTTCCATTCAAGATAAACTTTCATTGGAAGGAATAGTGGTACAAAGAGCTGAATGCCGACCTGCTGCCAGTGAAAACTACATGAGATTAAAGAGGTTAGTGTTCTTTAACTTGAAAATAATACCTGATAATTCCTTTTGGGGATTGAAATGCATATATTAGATTGTTTATTAACTGTATGAAAACTGTGGTTATGTTGAAAGTGTTTTCTTCAAAGGCTGTTTTGTTTTAAAACTGAGTAAGAACAAACTTCTAGTTATAAAATAAATAAGTCCAGGGAATATAACGTACAGCATGGTGATTATAATTAATATTACTGTTTTGCATATTTGAAAGTTGCTAAGAGAATAGATCGTAAAAGTTCTCATCACAAGAAGAAAATTTGTAAATATGGTGACAGATGTTAACTAGACTTATTACGGTGATCATTTTGCAGTGTATATATATTTCAAATCATTATGTTGTATATCTGAAACTAATATAATGGTATATGTCAATTATACTTCAATTATAAAGAAAAAAAAACCCCAAGTAAGAGTTTCTTTGGCAAGGGAACTTTCAGAACCTGGCCTGTTTATTTGGGATGTTTGAAGCTACTCTCTTAATATAACCTGGAGTCAGACTTTTTATACTTCTTTTTCTAATCATCTTTATAGATCTTGATTTTTTAAAGACCTGTAATAAGGTATTTGTACTATTTTATTTTTAAAGACTGTAATTTTCCCATAATGAACATTTCTGAAATACTCTACATTATAAAGCAAGTGTAGTTGCTAGAATATCATCCTTTTCTCTTGATTTACAGAGAACTTTTTATAAACTTAATGCTTTGTTAGAGATTTCACATAAGGTCTCTCCTTCCCCACTGTTGTACATGGTCAGCGTTTTGTAATTAATTTGATGATTGCAAATTCTTGATACTCCAAATTTTATGACTTTAAATAAAAGAGCACTTTTTTTAAATCCTGAAGAAAGACTTTTTAAAAAATTTTTTTATTTTAAGTAAGCTCTACACCACCTGTGGGGCTTGAACTCACAGCCCCACGATCAAGAGTCATGTGCCCTATCGACTGAGCCAGCCAGGCACCCTTTGTTTTATACTTTATATTGAATGTATTTCAACCCTGTGTACTTCAGAATTATAAGTTTGTTCATTCACTCAGCACTTAACTGTGTGAAAGAGTAGTGAACAAAACAGGCAAAACTCTCTGCCTTCATGGAACTTACATTATAGCTATACAGGGCTCATAATGGGGAATACACTGTTCAGGTGGTAGCAGTAGCCTGCCTGGATATCAGTGTTCTCACAGATAGAAGTGACTACTGGAGAGGCACCTGGGTGGTACAATTAGTGAAGCATCCAGCTCTCGGTTTCCGCTCAGGTGGTAATCTCAGGGTCGTGCGATCGAGCTCCATGTCAGGCTCCCCACTCAGCATGGAGTCTGCTTAAAGATTCTCTCTCCCTTTCTCTCTGCCCCTGTTCCCCCGCCATGCATGCACACGTGCTCCCCCTCCAAAATAAATAAATAGATCTTAAAAAAAAAAAAAAAAAAGGTGGCTGCTTGAGCTGGATCCTCTCTAATGTCACATCATCTTTTTAATTTCCCTCCTTTCTCAGTTAGATTAGAGTGTGTCTCTCAGGAAGGAAACAAAAAGACTGTTTTCTTGTCCAGTAATTGTTTTCATTTAAATGGCTTCCCAGGGCAAGGAAAAGGATGATAATCAAAATGAAAATTTTTTATAACTGAAAATAACTTTGGAACACAGGCAGGAGGTGTTTCTCTCTTTGTGTTTAGCCTATAAAATTGATCAGACAATGTGTGTTTTTGAAGACTTACCTTCTTCAAATAACCACTGAAATTGCAAAATGCAAAATCTGGTTATTGAGCTGCTTGCCAAGATCTTTTTTTGTGGTCCTAATTTTCTTTAAAGGTTTCTAAAGATTTCTGATGATGAGATTAGGCAAGTTGCCTGTTGTGTTAATGAAATGGCTGCTTTTTTTTCTTACCAAAAGATACAAAAATTGTGGGTGCCTGGGTGGCTCAGTTGGTTAAGCAGCTGCCTTCGGCTCAGGTCATGATCTTGGGGTCCCGGGATCGAGTTCCGCATCGGGCTCCCTGCTCGGCGGGGAGTCTGCTTCTCCCTCTTACCCTCTTCCCTCTCATGCTCTCTGGCTCTCATTCTCTCTCTCTCAAATAAATAAATAAAATCTTTAAAAAAAAAAAGATACAAAAATTGTTTAGTCTTTTGAGTGTGCTAGGAGACCAGCCATTACATATTTCAGTTACTTAAGTGACTTAAGGAAACAGGATGATTCAGGAGAATGATAATCATGTGAGTTTCATAAAACAGATGATCCGTGACATGTCATGAGCCCTGAGATTTTTTTTGACCAAGTGGAGAAAGACAGGAGTAAGAACATTCTAAACAGAGAGAGATATGCATGCATAAAGCCTTGGGGAAGACATTGGGGACCTCTGTGTAGCTCTGCGAGCCTGGAATGCGGGATTTGTTTGAGGCAGAGCAAACAGAAGCTCCAGTCTAGACCTCTGTTTTGAGCTCCAAACTTGCATATTCAAAAACCTGGTTGAATGTCCAATAAACATTTTAAATATATGAAAAACTGTTCCCCCAGGCTTTCCCCCAAAACCGGCTCTACCAGTGGTCTTTCTCATCTGAGTTAGTACAAACTCTGTTCTCCTGTTTCCTTAGTCCAGAAATCTTGGTGACATTCTTGAGTCCTCTCTCACACTCCCATGCAGTGTGCCAGAAAAATCTTACTGACTGTACCTTGAAAATATTACACATCTGCAGTCTGACCATTTCTCACCACCCATGTGATCTGCCATGAAGTCTCACCTAGGTCACTGCAGTAGCCTCCTAGTAGCGTTCCTCCTTCTGTCCCTGCCCCACTCCAGTCTGCTGCCAGCACAGCAGTCAGAGCCGTTCTTCCAAAATCTGTCACGTCATGCCATTCCTCTGCTCACTGGTCACATGCAGGGCTTCCTTCTTACTCAGAGTAAAATTCGAGTCCTTCCAGTTCTCTGCAGGGATCTGTGTGATCACCCTCCTACTCCTTCCCACTTCTCCCCATCCTTACCTCCTCTCCCTTCACTCCCCCTTACTTACTCTTCTCTAACCACCCTGAGCTCCCAACAGTCCTGAGCACTCGAGGCACTTCCATATTAGGGCCTTTACACCAGATTTTCTTTTCTGCCTGGAACATCGTTTCTGCAGATAAATACATGGCTCACTCCTTGCCTCTTTCAAGTCTCTTCTCAGATTCTACTTTTCCAAAAGGCCTCCCTGACTATACTTGTATTTTCTTATAGACCATGTCACTCTTAATATACTATATAATTTACTTATATTTATTGCCCACTTTGCCCTAGTGTTAGTTTAAACTTCTGTGGTTGGTTCTTTGGTGTGTATGTGTGTGCATGCACACAGTCATCTATTTTGTTCACTTATACACACACACACACACACACACACACCAAGTGTTTAGAATAGTTCATGACAGGGTGCCTGGGTGGCTCAGTCGGTTAAGCATCTGCCTTTGACTCAGGTCATGATTTCAGGGTCCTGGGATGAACCCCGCATCTGGCTCTCTGGCAGGGAGTCTGCTTCTTCCTCTCACTCTGCCCTTCCCACCCCCACCCCACAACCAGTGCTCGCTCGCTCTCTCTCTCTCAAATAAATCTTTTTTTTTTTTTTTTTTAAAGAATAGTTCATGACATGTAGTAGGTGGTCAGTAAGTATTTATTGAGTGAATAAATGGCAGGAGATAAGGTTTAAAATATTAAAGAACTTTAGGGCGCCTGGGTGGCTCAGTCGGTTAAGCGACTGCCTTCAGCTCAGGTCATGATCCTGGAGTCCCAGGATCGAGGCCCACGTCGGGCTCCCTGCTCGGCGGGGAGTCTGCTTCTCCCTCTGACCCTTCTCCCCTCTCATGTGCTCTCTCTCTATCTCATTCTCTCTCTCAAATAAATAAATAAAATCTTAAAAAAAAATATTAAAGAACTTTATATTCTTGCTAAATTATCTGTTAAAGAGTCTTAATATGCTTTAGTAAGAAATTTGGACTCTGTGCTTTGGCTGTTAAGGAGCACTGAAGAATTCTAAGCTCTATGGAAAGCAAAGGGATTTCTGTTTTGGATAGGTCATCCTGGCCATAATGTAAGACTGAATGCAGGGAGATAAGCTAGAGGCTGATGTAATAACCCAGGTACAAAATGTCTAAATGACTAAACAAAGTGGTTCTAGTCAGAAGGGAAACAAAAGACAAGGTTTTGAGAAAGACAAGGACTTAATGAACTCATCTCCTACTTAAGTGGTTGTGGGACAGGGGATTTCTCTAGGACCAGACTGATGGTGGTGGCTCTTGTGTTGTGGCCTGTGTCATTTCTGTTATGAATCCTCAGACTGATGAAGGGAGAAGGATAGGAGAGGCCTTATAATTCCCATGTCCATTTTAATGTAAATCCTGGTTGACAGTTTACATTAAACTTAAAAAAGCAGAAAGTACTTAAACTGCAAGAAGAGTACTGATGGGTAAATTAATCAAAATAGGAAAGTAATATAAGCCATAAGTTGTATTTCATGTACAGTTGACACTTGAACAACAAGGGGGATAGCGTTTCAACCCACAGTTGAAACTCCACGTATAACTTTTGACTCCCCAAAACTACTAATAGCCTGTTGTTGACTGGAAACCTTAACCAATAAACAGTTAACACATATTTTGTATGTTATATGTATTATTACTGTATTCCTACAATAAAGTAAGCTAGAGAAAAGAAAATGTTAAGAAAATCAGAGAGGAAGAGGAAATGCATTTATGGTACTCCACTGTAAAAAAAAAAAAAAAAAATCCACGTGTAAGTGGACCTGTGCAGTTCAGACTTGTGCCGTTCAAGGGTCAACCTGTATTTTGTTTATTGTTATTCAACATTTTCACATGCCTAATGTGATCACTGAGGTAAGGCTCAATTTTATTTTTTTATTTTTTTATTTTTTTTTAAAGATTTTATTTATTTATTTGACAGAGAGAGACACAGTGAGAGCGGGAACACAAGCAGGGGGAGTGGGAGAG